GTTTACTTGTTTGTTTTGTTTCTCTTCTCTTTGGACTACTTCAGTATTATTTAGAATTACATTTTAATTTATTAACTGGCATTTTGTATGTGTCTTTTCTCAAAAAGTAGTTTCTCTAAATATTGCAATATACATCATTAACAGTTCACAGTCCACTTAGAGGTAATATTGTATCACTTCATGTAAAATTTAGAAGCCTTGCAATGATATACTTCTATTTACTCCTCCCCTTGCTGTTACAGTTAATATATGTGTATATATCTCTTTCTATAGGTAGATAGATAGATAGATAGATAGATAGATAATAGATATTTATGGTGCCAAAAAAATGTATACACATTTTAAGAAAGGAAAACACTGTATTAAAGTTGTAATATAATGAATGACACTAATGTTCATTTGATTAATACCATCTTTTGAGCAAATGTCGTACTACACATTGCTATGGAATTCAATTCAACTTTGAAAAATCATACATAGATAACATCTCTTAAAATGTGTACATTTTTTGGCACCCCTGGTATGTATATATGTACACACACGTGCACACACACACACACACACATATTCATACATATATGTATTATACCTACAACACATTGTTATAATTTTTGCTTTACAATCATATGTATTTTAAAGAAATTAAGAGAAAATATAATGCAGCCATTAAAGTGTTTACAATAGGAAATGCTTATAAATTAAAAGAACAAAATATGAAAGTATTTATAGTATAATCCAATTACACATGAGAGAATGGGGGATAATAAAGGCCCAAAAAGAAATATGCCAAATATTAAATGTGGTTTTCTTTGGAAAAAAAAGAGAGAAAACATAGTTTTTCATATTTACTCATATGCTATCCTGACATTCTTCATTCATTTCTGAAAATCTGAGTTTCTCTCTGAAATCATCTCTTTTCTGCCTAAAGAATTCTTGTTTAGCATTTCATGAAGTGCAGATCAAATGGTGACAAATTCACTTAGTTTCTCTTTTCTGAAAGTAACTTCTTTATTTCACCATCATTCCTGAAACATCCAGAGCTCTAGGTTGACGGTTTCTCATTGTACTCACTGTCTTCTGGCTTCCATAGACTTTGATGAGAAATCTGTGGTAATTCAAATGATTGTTCACCTATACAGGATTATTTTCAAGATTTTTCGTTAGTTGTGGTTTTTAGTAGTTTGCTTAGGATGTACCAAAGTGTGTATCTCTTTGAATTTAACCTCTTTGGGATTTGCCAAACTTCTTGAATTTGTAAATTTATGTCTTACACCAAATTTGGGATGTTTTCAGCCATTATTTCTTTGAATATTTTTTTCTGCTCTAGTTTCTCTCTCTTTTCCTTCTGTGATTTCAGTGTCCCTATATTAGGTTTTTAGAAATTGTCCCACAATTCTGTGAAGTTCCACTTATTATTTTCAATCTTTGTCTTATTTTGGTTAAGTGATTTCTATTAATGCGTCTTCAAGTTTAGCAACTTCTTCCTTTGTCATCTCCATTCCTAAGTCAATCGAGTGATTTTCAGTTTTAAATTTCCATTTGGTTCTTTTTTATATTTTCGATTTCTTTCTGTTGATTTTTAAAAACTATTTCATCAATTACAAGGATATTTTTCCTTTACCTCATTCAGCATAGTTATAATGGCTGTCTTAAAGCCCTTGTCTGAAAATTCCAACATCTGAGTCACCTCAGGATTGGCCTCTGTTGATTCTCTTTTCCCTTGGGAATGGGTCACACTTTCCTAACTCTTCCATGTCAAGTAATTCTGGATTATTTTCTGGATATTGTAAATGTTTTGCTGTGGAAATTTTGGGGTCTCTTTTAAATCTTTCTGAGGAGCATTGAGGTTCACTTTAGAAGGTAATGAATTTGGTTAGACACAATTACAACCTGCCATGCTTGTAGTGACTGGGCCATAACTCAATTGCAGTTCAGTTCTTTGACCCATGGCTGCAAATTTCTTTCAGTTTGCCCCATACATGCATGGTCAGGGGTCTGCCACAGGCGAGCTGAGTCTATATGCAGAATTTAAGATTTCCAGCTTCTCCTTTTGGGCTTCCCCTTTACTTTTGGTAACCCTGGTTATCCTGGGCTCTTTTCTCCTTGTTTATTCTGCCAGAAAGATGACCTTTCTATTGAATTTTTACTGTAGCTGTGCTGCCACCACTATGATTGTGCTGCTCTTGGGCAAATCACGGAGAAGCCATTCTATGCTTGTCACTTGCCCCAAGTTTTATCTCTCCCCTAAAACTAGCCTGTTTTTGTTCAATATCCAGATTGAACTCTTTTTTTGTCTTTGTCCAGAGTTCATAGTTATTCTTTGCAAAAGGACTGTTTGTTAAGCACTTATCCTTCTACACTAGATGTGCAGCTCTCACTCTTTTAACTGGAAAATATTTTATTTTTGTTTATTTATTTATTTGTAATTGGGTAGAGGGGAACAGGTATTTTTCCAGCACCCATCAGCTCCAAGTCGAGTAGTTGTTTCAATCTAGTTTTGGAGAGCACAGCTCAGTGGCCCATGTGGGGATCGAACCGGCAACATTGGTGTTGTGAGCACTGTGCTCTAACCAACTGAGCTAACCAGCCACCCTTAACTGGAAATTCTTAATGACCTCTTTGCTTGATCTTCCTGCCTGTAGTTTTATTTCTTTTCAGTACAATTTTTACTTGGGAGCCCAAGTGATTGTAATAAAATCCAGTGTTGACCGTGGTCTTATAGGATTGGGTGTAAGATGTTTGTAATGGCTTAGGCACCCCTTTATAACTAATTCCTGCCCACCTGTAAACTGCAGTATGATGTCTTTCCTCAACCTGGTATGTTTCCACAATTCTAGAATACTCATCTCCTTTGTTTCTTTTACTCTGTTTCCCTTGCTTTACTCCAGGAAATCTTCACTTACAGTTCAGTCCTCCTCCTAATCTTGAGTTAGGCATCTCCTCTGAATCCCCCCTTAATAGTCGGTGGGTCCCTCTGGCATGGACTTACTATTTTTTCCTGTTATTTTCTGCTTAGTTGTCTGTACTCCCACAAGACAGAGCTTCTCAAGGGTTGCAAATCATGCCCTATTTGTTTTAACTGCTAACTACTTTCCCTCACCTACTTTTACACAATATCTGATACATAGTAGATACTCAGTTGTTTTTTTTTTGTTTTTTTTACTGACTGCATTAAATTTTCACGAGTTTTTTATTTCAGTGCTTCAGTGAGTATCCGATGTGTACACATAGAATTCCTATGAAATAGAACAAAAATAGAACAAACAAAGAATTTGGGGCTACCTGTTCACTATTCACTGTGTGCCAGTTGGGACGCATTTGTTAACCTTGTCTTTTATGCCCCTAACTATATAGGTGGTAACCCCAGCATTCTGTGAAATCCTAATGCTCAAAGTCTGCACCAAAAGGGACTTGCTGGGACTTGTTAAAGGGCAGACCTCTTTTACCTTTCTCTTTTCGTATGAATGGGAGAATCCAGATATTGCCAGGGAAGGGATGTGTGTGTGTGTGTGTGTGTGTGTGTGTGTGTGTGTGAGAGAGAGAGAGAGAGAGAGAGAGAGAGAGAGAGAGAGAATGAGAATGGATGTTGATGTACCCCTGGCAGTGAGCCAGCACTATTCTCCCATACTGAGTATCAGGTGATAGATTCAGAGTCTATAGATCTGTCATGGCTTGTCAACTGCTAGGCAGTCTGGAATGCATTCTCTTCCTTTACACCATTTCCCATTTATTAGAAAGAATCCATAGTCCTTTATATCCTACAGAGCACAAGCTTGTGCCAGAGCTGCTGCTTTGCTCTTGGTATCACCCATTCAGAGCAGGAGCTACTGAGCTGTAACCTGCATTCTTTCTTTCAAACAAATAAGCCTCTGTTTCCATAGAACTTTTCAACTTCCATGTGCTAGGTTAATGCCTTAGAACAGTGCTTCAGCTTCAGCTCCAACTTAAAAAGAAGGAAAGATAAGTGCTGTAATCATTTCCTAGTTATGCAAATAATATGCTCTGTGTAGAATTATTTATACATTTATTTATTCAGTAAATATTTCTTGCACCTCCTACATGCCATGTTTCAAGGATATATATAGATATGGTCATTGCCTCATGACAATCTAGTCTAGAGTTATAGGAAAATATATAGAATTTTTTTAAAAAATCCAAAAATCTCAATATACAGAGATAACCACTGTTCACCTCTCTATGAATTTTGTGTGTATGATTTTGCCCTTTGATTTTAGACACCATCACTTCATCTGTTTTCATTCTAATATCCTCAACTTTTTTGCTTCTTTGTCCTTCATTTCCCCCATGGGGCAAATTTCCAATTCCTGAGCATCTAATAATCAACCTACGTAATGTTTGGCCCTGGCCTGGAAAAAAAACTATTTAGAATGCTAATTTTAATCCCAAGGAGCTTGTTCTACTTTATATGCTTGAGATTCTGAATTTTCCACACCTATGAAATACTAATTATTAAGTTATAGAGGTATTTCCCACTAAATTAAATTAATAGACTTACTCATTTTATGGTTTAATAAGGGAGTATAAAAAGTTGAGCTGTACCTTATTTATAATTGCAAAAAAAAGTATTAAATATCTAAATGCCCATCAATAAGAGAGTAGTTAAATAAATAATGTACATCTATACAATGGAATGCTATGAACCCATTAAAATAGCTTGTTGACATAAAAAGAAAACTAATAAATGTGGAAAGGTATTCACAACAAACTGTTAAGAGAAAAACAGATTTATGTAGAGATTAGGATATTTTGTTTCCATTTATGTAAAATTGGATACATGTGTGTGTACACTCATAGAAAGCTATTTGTAAGTATTTAATCAATGTAGTTCTTCAATTCCTACTGTATACGAGGTGCTCAGTAAATACATTGTGATGTCCATGTCATGGGGTGAAATCTGATAATACACGTAAATTGTATCAAGCATATTTGTGGGGGAGATATATGTGCTTTACTAAAAGTACTTTTTCCCTCATCTCTAGAATAATGAACTACAAAGCAGGTTGGACTATTTAACAGAAACCCAGCCCACGACTGAAGTGGAAACCAGAGAGATTGGAGTGGGCTGTGATCTGCTACCCAGGTATTTTGGAATTTCCTGTTTTTCTAACTCAAATTCTTCTTTGACATAAGAAAATACTTTATTGGGCTGTTATTACCAAAATTGCATTCTTTCTATCAAAAATGTTTCTGCAAAGATAAGTGGTGGCTGCTGAAGCGCCTGACTGGTTTCTGTGGGAGCAGGGGTATGGTGCAGGGCAGAGGGGATAGCCAAGGAGAGAGCTGGGGAAGACACTTCAGAGAGAGATTGGCCCTATCAGTTAGTGCATCTATTGGTTCCTTCCTTCATTTGTTCATTCATTCAGCAAACATCTGTGCCAGACAGTTATGATATGGAGAATGAAATTTAGTTCCTGTCCCAGAGTGCAGTCTGGAAGTGGAGACAGATATTGGGCAGTAATTTACAACAGTGTGAGAGGACCCTGTGATATGCCTTAGTAATGTAGAGAAGGGAGAGTCCAAATCTTGAGCAAAATTCATCTGTTCTCCACCATCAAACAGAATATTGTCAACCGCTGGATCAGATTGAAAAATAAACGATGTGTTTCAGTCATGAGCAGATATACAATAACTGTAGCCTGCTTCATTCAGTTGCATTTCTGAGCTAGAGGACTGATGTGTTCGATGTTAAGCTGCTCCACAGGCCCATGCCTGGGTCTTTCCCTAGTAAGATTAGAGCCTGTGAATCAGTAACTAACCCACCAATCTCTAGATGCTCAAAACTGTGCTTGGCCCAAAGAAGGCATAAAACAAATGTACAAGAAGGACACCAATGACATGTAGCTTGTGATTTAGGTAACCAAAGTCACAAAGTCACGTTGTTCTCATTTACATTGCTTGCTTTCTGGTGAACACAAGACAATTTCATCATTCTGATATGATTAATAGAAAATGTTAAAAAAAAAAAGAAAAGAGAAAAAAGGGAAAAGAATATGTAAACAGACTCCAGGTCTCATCCATGTGGGGTACAATGTACATAATAAAAATGTGGCCAAAAGGAATGATTGGGCGTGCCCAGGGACTCCTTTTGAAATATAAATAGTTGGCCATTTCCCTCCGTTTTTATTTTTCAAGAACCAAGTGGCTGAGTCCACTCTAATTGCCCACATAATAAATCTTGTTTGGCTAGGACGGGTACAAAACTATGTCTGAAACCAATAAATTGTTTGTTTTCTAATTCCCACATTTTGGCTTAAAACAAGCTTTTCAATTTGTATGCCAAAGGATAGCCTGAAGCAAACTTTTATGGTGAAGTTATGAAACCACAAAGCGGTTTTCATAATGGAAGTGCTGACAGACCCTTAACTTATGGCCACGGTGAACTTGGAAGCCACGTCAGTATCTAAAAGCAGCTTTTCCATAAATGTAACATTTGGTTTCCCCCAGGATCCATCTTAGCACTTTAACTACCTAGGTCAATCAGCAGAGGAAATGAAAACTACATATCCGTATTTCCGAAAAGGCAGAATAATATTTCATTCGTTTCCTCACAAATATTTATTAAGTGCCTACTATGTGACAGGCGCCATGCAAGTCTGGGTGGTGAGGAGCACGGGGTCTTTAGAGATAATTCAGGGCTGAACCTGCGCTTCTGAGAACTGCCATACTCTGTGCTAGGTCTCTGAGGGTGAGAGGGTTAGCAACGAGCTGACCTGTGGGGACCCTCCCGCACACAAAAAAGAAAACAACCTGAGAAAAACTCAGCTTTTAGTGGGATTCCAAGTAAGTTTTTGTTTGGATAACAAAACAAGTTGTTTTATTTTGTTATATGGTCAAAACAAATTGGAACCCCCTGGTCCAGTTTAATCCCTATGTTTTATAGATACAAAAATTGAGGCCCAGAAAGATAAAATGATTGACTGGAAGCCACACAACAAGGATTAGGATGAGACATTCTGAGTCCTGGGGTGGTACATTTGTGGTTTTAAAATACTCAATATATAGAGAGTTGCTAAATTGGGTTGCGTATATTCTAACAAAATTCCTGGTTCTTACTTGGATTTCAAACTTGCATCTAACTAACTAAAGATCCCCTTTAAAGATTTCCAGCATAATTCTAAAAGAGCACCCTCCAAAAGGTTTTAGATCAATGAAAGTATTGAATTAAGTCTCACTGATTCAGAAGTTTTGTTCTTACTACCTGTTCTTCTCCCACGAAGAACTAGGTAGTGTAGTCCAGTTGGGACACCTCAGGCTGCTGCGGTTCCCTGCCCAGCCAGCGGCCACCTGAGCGCGGCCTTGGGCAAGCTACTCAATCTCTCTTAAGCCTCAATTATTTCAACCCGAAAATGGGAATGAAGATGGCGATATCAAATCTCATAGGGTTGCTATGAGGATTACATGAAAATGTGTATAAAGTATTTAGCATGATAACTAGACTGAAGTTAAGCCCTTAATACATAATAGCTATTATTACTATCAACTAATAAAAACTCTGATTTTACATGTAAGACACTATCAAATATAAGTGAATTTGAGTGTGCTAAGACAATTTCATTAACTTAATTTCTTTTGGTGGTTATTACCAATTCCATTAAATGCATTAATAGTTTAATCAAGTGTATAGTGTATTAGTATGCATTGAGCTCTTCAATTGAACTATCAGTGGTTTGAAACCCTTTAGATACTGCCTAAAACCCTGGAATGCCTAGTAGTTGATGAGATCTGTCAGCTGAGACATCGGAGTGGTCCCAGCATGTCCCAGGTACCAGGCACAAAGCCTGACACCAATGACTCATTTCTCCTTATACCTGCAAGGGTTATGACCCTGTGCTAGGCTAATAGCGTTTGACTGTTAGAGCGGCTCTATTTTTATGTACTGCTGAAAAAAATGAAATCAGCCTTTTCTTTACTTATAGAGCCATCAAGCCCTTTTTCTTACCCCTCCGCCCATCTCACTTGTCCCTGCCAACACTGTGTACGCCTGTGGACAGGGACCCTAGGCTGCCATCCCCTGTTCTAGCATTTACTTGATGCTTACTAAGCATTTGTTGGCTGAATGAATAAAAGGCACATAGCAAGTGGGGACTTAACGCAGCTGATCTGTTTTATAATATGATTGATTTATTTAATAAAAAACTAGGAAGAAGTGTTTCTTGCTTAACATCTTACTTCTTTATGTTTATTGTCTCTCTTCCCCCCACCCCACCCCAGAATGTAAGCTTCATGTAGGCAGGGATTTGCATCCTTTTCACTAATTGCAGTCTCCCTGGGACTTACTTAGAATAGTGCCTCACAAATGACAGGCACTTAATATTTACTGACTGGAGCCATCCCTCTGTAGCATTTGACAGTTCTTCCTATGCAGAAGAATGTCTGCTTCTTACCCTTGGAAGACTTCTCCCTCCTGGTTCTCTCCTACTTCCTTGGCCCGTCCTCCATCTTTTTTGATGGCTCCTCTTTTTCCTCTAAGACCATGGGAAATCTTCAGGATTCTATATTGGTTACAGTAGTTTCTGCAAAGATGGCATCAGGTCTCGTGACTTTACCGCTTGCCTCCCTGTGGCTGAGCCATCCCGTAGTTCAACCTCTCTTTTGCATGCAAGCCCTCATTTCTGGCTGCCTGCTGACCACCTCAGCTGGTGTCTGCTTGATATTCATACTCACCCTGTCCATTGCTGTGTGAGTCCATTTTTTCATCAAAATCAGTTCTCTTAGTAGGCGTTAAGAAAACTGTCTGGAAGATAGATCCAGGTTTGGGTCTTGGATCTGTCTCTGCTACATCTATAGCTTTGGGCAAATTTCTAACCTCTTTGTGTCTCAGTTTCCACACCTAGAACAGCAAAATTTTGATAGCAATTCTCTCAAAAGCTTGCCGAGTTAATTAAGTGAGATACAGGCATAATGTCCCCAATGCAATGACCACATTTTCATATTTTTGTTTTGCCGCTACCACTTTCCCAGTTACCTAAGCGTCAATATACTGCAGTCACCTTTGAGCCATGAATTGTTTGCTCCTAAGCTAATTCACTCATACAGTGCTATCTTTTTTTCTTCATGATTTGCTTCATACTTTCCCATTCCATTCCATTGCTTGAGACTAGTGTCGTCTATGTCTAGTCTAATCAGTACCATCTGCCTCCAGTTTCTCCTCAAATTCTCCCCCTCCATCTAATCTCGGTGTTACATGATTTTCTAGAGAGCAAAGATCTCTAATAGAACAGGGAGAGAGGGGAGAGCTGGAAAGGTGCTCACTGTGACTTCAGAGGCTTTTAAACACCTATTTTTAAATAAAAGACTGAAGAGCTCAATTTGAAAGGTTTGATATACATTAATTAAAGCCACTGAGAGCAATTTCCGATCAGCTAACCTTAGTTCACAGAGAAAAGTGAAAAACAAAAAACTGAAAGAAGAAACTTCTTTCTCCTTCCCTAAATGAAACTTGGTTTCCAGCAAACTCATAAATTATGTCTTATAGGTACAATTTAATGAAAATATTCCCTGTGGTCATAAGTTCCTAGCACATAGTAAGCACTTTAAAATGCCTACATTTTCAAATTTCTGTTGTAGAGACCAGAACACAAAGTAGCTTTTGTTAAAGCTTTAGTTGCTGATTCTGCTATTGTTTCCCACAGGGGAACTGCCCCTTTATGGATTCATAAAAGGTTAACAATAGCCTTAATGTGTTAAAATATATGGCCGAATTTCAATTATGAGGTTGAAATTATTTGCATTCTTGAAATCTTGTTGTTTCCTACTAATCAACTAAATAAAATACCTAACTTCTTTTTGGGATATGAGAGAGCCTGTTTTTGAAACCCAGAAGGTCCACCTTTATAAATATTTCTGCATTTTATGGGCTTTTAGGATATTGTCACCGGGGACCATTTCTGTTATGTGGAATATTCACAGTAGTTGGCAGAAATTGCCATCTGGCTTCTGTCCCTGGCATTCCACTAAACTGCCTGGTGAGGTCACTGGGGACTCCTGAGTTGCCAGATCCCTTGGCTTCCTCTGTGTGGCAGGTGACACTAACTACTTCTGGAAATCCCTCGTCCTCTGGTTTCCTTTGTCATCTGTATATGGAATGAGAGCTCTGTGCTTGGCCTGAGTGAGCTTCTGGGGTCATGAAGATGGGTGAGATATGGTTTTCACCCTTCCAGAATACACCCAAGCAGAGGAGACAAATGCGTGACCAGTGGGTTCAAGATGCTTCCAGTGGTGTGTCAGAAGCTGGCATGACAGTCATTTTCAAGGTGTATATGGGGAAGGTGGAGTGGTGAGCATGAAAAGGACATATTGAGTCTCTGGGAAAGACGTGAAGTTTAAAATTACCCCCAATCTTCTAATAGACCTCATTAAGAAGCTGTCTCCCTACTACTCTTTAGTTGAAAATCAGTGCAGGGTAATGGGAGGTGTTACTGATGGGAAAGTTTAGCAAAAGTGAACCTTTGGGAAACAGGAAATTGAGCAGCACCGCTCAAGGAAACTGTGAGTGCATAAAGAAAGGAAGGATCATTTCCATCGCTGGTGCGGGGAGTAGGGGAAATTGTCGTATAGGAGGTGATGTTTGGTTTGAGTCTTGAAATATAAGCAGGAATTCATCAGATCCACCTGATTAGGGAAGCATTCAAGGTGCAGGGGACAGCTTGAGAATGGCAAAGTGGTATGCAACAATGCGGTAAATGAGAACTGTGTGTGTTGCTTAGCAACGCCAGACTGGAGATATAACAGGAGATGGTAGAAGGCCTTTAGACCATGCAGGGGGGTTTAAACTTCATCCAGAGAGCAATGGGGAGACTTTGGAGAGTTTTAAGAAGAGTAATATGCTCCAACTGTCTTTTTAAAGAAGATATACCTGACAGCAAAATGGACAGTGGATTCAGGGAGAGGGGAAGGCTTTGCCAACACTGAAGGCAGGGAGACCATTTAGGACAATATTCCAATATTCAAAGATAAATTATGAGAGCCTGAACTAAGGCAGTGGCTAAGGGAATAGAGAAGATGGATGACAAAGCAGTATTTAAGGAGGTAGATTCCTTACTACTTGTTGTAAGATTGGACATGGAAGTTAGGGGAAAGGGGGTTGAGTCTTATATCTCATATACACAATGGGTCATTGCATCAGTCAGGATAAGGAGTGTAGCTGCTGTAACATACAACCCAGAGATCCTGGTGGCTTAGCACAGTAAAGACTGAATTCTCACACCACAGTCCAAGGCAGGTTGGCAAGAGTCTTACTCCACACAGGCATTTGGGAACCCAGGATTCTTCCATCTAGCAAGTCTGCCTGGGCTTTTGAGGACCCTTGGGTCCTCTATTGTACCCTCTACATGAAAGGGAAGTGAGAAAGCATAGAGAATTATGTAGAAGGTTTTTACAGGCTAAGTCTGACCCTTGACTAATGGGAGAATTAGGCGCACCAACCCCCTTGCAGTAAAAAATCTGAGTACAACAAGTTGGTCTGCAGCATACGTGGATTCCCAACTGCTGACTGAACATACAGTTGACCCTTGAACAACATGGGTTTGAACTGTGCGGGTCCACTTACTTGTGGATTTATCAGTTCAAACCTATGTTGTTCAAGGGTCAACTGTAAATGGCTTCTGCCCTTTTAGTCACAGGCTCACTGAATTGCAAGGGAGGCTGGGAAATGTAGTTGTATTATGTGTCCAGGAGGGGAAAAAATGGGATATGTCTCCATCTTAGTCACTAAATCTTATTAATCCTACTTCCCAAATATCTCCCAAGCCTTTTCTTGCTGCTTCACCTCTAGTGTTACTGTTGGAGTTCACATTCTCACCATCGCTCTCTCATCTCCTAAATAGCAAAAAAGTCTCCTAATTAAGCTTCTGCCTCCAGACTGAGTCCTTTGCAGTCAGTCCTCAGTGGTACCAAGGCATCTTGCTAGAATAAAAATATGAGCATAGCATGTCCCCTCTGCCCCCTTCTGAACTCCTTAGCAGAGCACCAGGGCCCTCCTCCATCAGGCCTCATCTTCTGCTCCTTTCCATTATGAACTCCTTGCCCCGGGTGTACCAATCGTGTCTCCTCTCCACACTGTGACCCCTGTGTTCACCCTTCTTTGCCTTTGCACACACTGTCCCTTCTGCTTGGAACGCCCATCTCCTCCTTGCCTACTTGAGGAATGCCTAGGCATCTTTCAAGATTCACCTTCCCATGTGAATTTCCAGATGCCCTCCTAGTGGTGCTAACTTGTTCTGCCCTCAGTTTCCCCATAATATGTTAATTGTTGTATTTCTCAGAGTCCTGGCAGGAAGGGGAGGTTGAAGAAACTTAAATGAAAGAACTATATACAAAGGTTTGGGCAGCTTTAAGGGAAATGAACAAGGGACAATGGTGTACTCTGGAGCTAGTAATAGTGGGAGCTGTTATCAGCCTGGACCTGAAGAGGCAGGGGAAGAAAGCCAGTGGGGGAGATGGAGGGAGGGCTGTAGCTGAGGGCCTCTGCTGGAGAAATATAGCCAACTGCAAGCTGCTGCTGGACTAGGAGGGAAGAAGTGTCCTGACCTCCCTGTCCTTCCGTTTTCTCATCCCCTGCTACCATGTCCCAGTCAAAACCAACTGGAAGCTAAAAGGTGAGGAAGCCCATTGATGCTGACCTTCAGGTCAGCTTCCCAGAGTGCAGAGTGAGGTGGAGAAGAGGGAGATTAGATCTGAATGGGCAAATGGAAAATATTCAGTACAGCTCTCTATGTCCCTGTTATAGTACCCAACGTATCATATTAAAATTATTTATGTACATAACTTTCCCACCAAATTATGAGTTCCTTCAAAGCATGTTTTATATTTTCTGCATCATCGATGCCTAGCATGTACCAAACCTTTAAAAGTTGCTAAAAATAATTGTTTTTTTGTAACATTTAAATGAAATATTCAACTGTATTATTATAGTCTATTTTTAAGTATTGAAAATCTATTTTTTAGAGTTGTCTTACCCAAGAGTATGGAGAGTTTTGTGTTATCTTCCTGACCTGCCTTTTCTCATTTCTCAGCCACACAGATCGGACCCGTGAAATCGCAATGCCTTCCAGGGGCTATGCCCCATACGCACGAGTCCTGGAGTTAACCATGAAGAAAAGTCTGACTTAGGCACTCAGAGACATGCACTTTTTACAGATGGACAAAGGCCCTGGATGTCTGCCGCTTGAAGTCTGGACAGGGTGACTGTTGCTTCTTCTTAAACACAGTTTAAACCAGAATGGAAATGACCAAGGTTCTCATCCATTTCTTAAAACATGAAGGAAAGTGGAGGTGGAGGGGGAGGGCAGGAGGGAGGTTTACAAGGTCATTTTTCAAACACACAACCAGCCTACCAGGCTGTTTGTACTGGGCATCATTTAGTTTTCCATGCGGACACTGAAGTCCTGTGAGAAGAATTTCCTCACGATTTATTTTCTTTTTTACTAGACTTCAGTTCGGATGGAAAAGGACATTCATTTGAAATTACATGTTATTCACGCCAGGATCGTTTGTTACTGTATGAAAGCTTTGTTTACCCATGAAAGTATTAGAGGCAGTGCTTCTCTGGTAACAGAGAAACCTGTCCACAGGACCACGGGCACCTGGGGGAACTTGACCGTGGGAGGGAAGGATTCCCAGCACGCAGGTGTTATCTCCTCTCCATGCCAAGGATGTGTGCAGGATTGTGGGAACTGCGACTGGAGATGGCCCTCGTGTGGGCACACACGCTTCCATCTGATGTGCTAATCCCTTTGTTTAATTTGTGCCTTATGCCTCTATGGAGCCAGCTGAAATCACTGTATTTATTCAACCTGTGATTTTTTTTTCCCTTTCTCACTTTAACTGAAAGACAATTTTTTTATGTTGCGGAAATTTAATCATTTCATATTTTCAGTATTGATTGGTGTTTTTGTTAAATGAATGAGTGATTTGTTCATGCATGCTCTACTTTGATATTACAATCTATGTCACATGTTTAATAAATGCCATATATTTTGTTCTACTGATGTCTCTGCGTTTCAGCCATGACCACGTATAAGGGGTAGAAAGTGGAATCGGACTGTAGAGTGAGTGTCAAAGTCAGGGCACAGTGAGCTTTCAATCAATACGGCCCACAGAAGCATTTACAAACCCTAAGATAGGATGTGTGTGTGTGTGTGTGTGTGTGTGTGTGTGTGTGTGTGTATTTAAACTCTGAAATTTAGCTAGTTAACCTACCTTCTGAAGAGAATAAGATGTACTCCTGGTTATAAAATACAAAACTAGTTTTTACTTAAAAAAAATCACCCACCCTTGTGCCCAAGTTCCCTACACCCTTACTGTCACTCTTCAAAAAAACCCAAGGAAAGAAAGCAAAGCAGTTCAGGTGGGTAAATCCCTGAGAGTCAGGATAGTGTAAAGAGATAAAAATGTGTATTTTTGAAGCCAAATTTGTGTTTAAATTATGATTGTGGGACCTTGGGCAAGTCATCGAAGCTCTCTGAATATCAACTTCATCTTCTAAAAACTTGGGATCATCACACCTACCTGATAGGCTGATGTGAGTGTCCAACGAGGTGTTCACACAGGGGCACTGTGGGTGCTGACCACAGAGGAGGGATTGCTGTCATTTCGCAGGTGTGTTTTAAAGCACTGTTGCCTCCTCCTGGTTCCCTTCACTCATAGAGGTAGGTGTTCTGGTGGTGAGAAACCATGCCCTGAGCAAATCCCGAAAAAGGAGCATTTCAGAAAAAGGCAGTCCTAGAGACCAAGAGTGGAAAGCTGGACTCTGAGTGGCAGAGGATCCCCGGGGCCCCTGGGCCCCTAGACAAGCTGATCTGGAAGCCATTTCTAAATGAAATGCAATGGTACAAAGAATGTCAGTTTCAATGAGACTGAGGCAGAAATCAAAACTGCTCTGCAAGTACCACCACATTCCCTCCTTTCTCTTTTTCTTAAAACTAGCAAGAAAAAGGGGGAAAAAAAAAGGTGAGTAATTTTACATTCAAAGAATGCCAGGGATCATTCTACATCATTAAAGGTGGTCTCTCTCTGGGCCCTTTGTATTTTTAAATATATCTTCAACATGTGGAGAGGTCTCAACATTGGTTGAACTATTCAGAAAGACAAAGAAAGTTCCTAAGTAGTACCGACTGAAACTGAAAGAAATAGAGATGATTCTTCTTGATCCTTTGTCAAAAGTAACTCTAGTGGACCCTCCAACCTACCTTCTGAAAGACAACATTTTTCAACTCCTCGTGAGCATGGGTACTGTATACAACTGGGAGAAAGAACTGTCATATTAATAGTAAAGTTATTCTATTGAAATGAACAACAGCGGTATATATAAAAATTTTTAAATAAAAAATAACAATATCCTATAATAATGCCTCAAGTAATATTTTTATTCCAGTTCTTCCAGACTTTCTTACACACACACACACACACACACACACACACATTTTGTTTTTTAAAACAAATATGACCCTATTCTGAGAAGCAGAATCATGGTATTTAGGAAGGTGGAATTTGGAGTCTGCCGAGCTCAGTCACTTGTGTGTGCCTTGGGCAAGTCACAGAACCCCTCCAAGCCCCTGTAAAATGGGGACAGTGACAGTGCTTTCCTAACTGGGGTTGGTGTGAAAATTAAACAAGTTAATATCTGTGAAGTTCTTAGAATAGTGTTTGGCATATAAGTACTTAATGCTACCTATTATCATTACATACTTTTGTAACCACTTTTTGCTTATGATAATATATATATATCTCCACACCATTGTTTCTTACAATTAATTGGATTCCATTTTATTGAGGTACTATGACTTACTTAATCTGTTCCCTATTGTTGGAATTTTGGAGGTTGTCTTTACTCCTTTTTCAGCAATCCTCTGATGAACCATATCGTGTACATGTCTTTGTACACTTGCCTAATGATTTTCTCAGGAAAATTCCTAGAAAAGGTATTGCTGGGTCAAAAGTTATGCATGTCTAAAGTCTTTTGGTGCACATGGTCAATTTGGCCTGTGGAAATTTGAATCCATTGAAACTCTCACCAACAGGATGAGAATGTGCTGTGCCGAGCCCATTTGCCAACACTGGGAATGAGAAATGGAAAGTCTAAATTCGCTTGCTTGAGGCAGACCTGTCCCACAAACAGGCAGTGAAAAAAGCTCCTTCAGGATATTGCCTTTGGATGTGTGAGCTCAGGGGCTGCAGGTGTAAGCTGCAGGGCTGCAGGCTTCCTGAGGGCCCAGAGAGTGCCTGGGCAGCCGACAGGAAACAGGAATGGGCTTAGAAGGAACAGGTGTACCCCAGGATCCTGCAATCAGAGAGGGCCTGCTGCTTAGAGAGCCCTCTAAGGAGAGAGAACAAAATCAGGTCACATGCCTGAGATGGGGATTGAATCTGAGAGACATGCCCCAGAGGGCAGATTTCAGAGCCAGCCAGGGAGAGAGGAACAACGCTTGGGAAGTGCTTGGAGTTGGGTGATATGGTCACTCCATTAGAGGGCATGCTAACCAAGGCTGACCCCTGAGCTGGTCTGTATGTCTACTCTGGGCACCCACTTTCTCCCCAGAAAATGCCATCTGCCTGCTCTAGAAGCTCTAGGGTGCTCCCCCAGGACACGCAGTGGAGTGGGAGATGTGGCAGGAAGGGCAGATTCCTTCCTGTCCTGGCTCAGGCTACGTCAGACCACGGTGCTTTTCTTGACATCCTGACTCAGAGGCCCAGTTCAGTTCAACCAGCACATGCCAGGTACTGTGTGCCAGTGCTAGGGAGACACACATGTGCACGGCCACATCTTTTTCCTCTGCAGAACCTTCCCCACTGAATCCAGCACCTCCTGATCTTTGGCTGTCACTGTATCCTAGAGGTACCTATTTATGGCCCCCTCTTTTCTACTCTTACATCTAATGACAGATCGTCACATCCGTTTTCTGTCTCTCCAGTAATGTAAGCGCTTTGGGGGCAGTTTCCCATAAAGGACACACATAATTTGGAGAGGACCATCCCAAACTTTGATGAACATGAAGAAATCTACAAATGAAACATATTCCAGGAAGAGCCTTGGCTGAGAGCAGTAAAGCAGACCAAGATTACTGAGGTAGGTACAGCATACTACCACCATTTTGTGGATAAGGCAATTAAAACTCAAACTCAAAGGCCTGTCTGATTCCAGAATATGGGTGTGAAGCCTGGAGTCAGTCCCAGCTCTTACACTGAATCATAATACCCACTTGGTCCTGTCATTTTAGTACCTCAGTAAGCAGCTTTGCCTAAGAAGTAAATGGAATTGCATCCCCCATATAGGCTTGCATGCAGATAACATAAAATAGCATGGAAAAATGTCCCAGGATTGCCCCAGAGATATGCTAATAATTGATATCTATTATTAGTACTAGTAATTACTCGGAAGGAGGTGTTAAATCATGAATATTTGTAAACCCAAGGATTTTCTCTTATTGGACATATATCAGAGACTTGGATTGTGCAGAAGGAAACTAGGGCAAAAAAAATAATAAAAACAATAATACTAATAAACATGTGGCTGGTGGCTTGATAAGCAGGAGATCAAATAAACTATAGTCTCCTTTCCTCATATGCAAATTTGAGACTACCTCATTTGACCTCGTCAGGGAAGGAAAAGTCCAAAAAGGAGATTAGAAATATGTTTCTGGAAAGAAAGGCCAGAGACAAAGAGACCAGAGGGAGATACTGCTAAATTTGCAGGTAATTTTTTTTTTTTAAGATTTTTATTGGGGAGTTGGGGGGATGGGACCAGTACAGGGGAATTGGGGGAAGGGGAACAGACAAGTTGCTGTCGTTTTGTTCTTCAATTTTTAGTTGTGGAAGACGATGCTTCACTGGCCCAAGTTGGCACCATCATTGCGCTCTTCCCGGGTGAGACATATCAGTTGCCGGCTTCTGGATGGCCACTTGCGGCGGCTGCTGGCCGCTCACGCTGGCTGCTGGCCACATACGGTAGCCCATGGCAACCCACTGCCACAGGGGCTGCAGCCTACGCCAGTCACCGGCGACTCATGGCAGCCCAACTCCAGGTTGAGCTGTTGTTCAGCATCTTAGCTGT